GCTCAGTGTATGGTTTTGGTTGAGCCAGCTTAAGAGGATAGTGTTTTTGTTCATATTTTTTGGTGCTTAAGCAGAAGTTTGTTTGCTCATATCAGACGCTGTGGCTTTGAGTTTTCTTACCTGATTACCAGCTTCCCTGTTTTGCAGTCTTTTAGCGTTGCTTTTTCTTTTCTTCAGTGAATCTTGTATATTCTTAGGTTACCTGAGTCATTACCTGTGTGACACTCACCTGCACTCTGCTTCCTGGCCTCTGGAAAGTTGTGGCTGCACTCCCTTCTTATGGTGTGACCTCATCCCTCCTGACCTTCAGCATGTTTCTCACTGTCCAAGTCTTTGTTTTATATATCCAGTTTCCTGTGTGGCGTATAGCTCTTTCTTTGCTGCTGAAACTCACTCACCTTTTGTCTTCAGTCTGCCTGAGCACAGAGACCTGGAGTATACTCACCCTGTAGTCTTCAGCCAGCCTGTGAAAATGCCCTCTTCATTACTGACCACATTATTTTTATTATACCCCGGACAACCTCCCTTTGTTCCACCACTAGTTTCCCTGTTTGGTCCATCCTCTTAGCCAGTTACCATCTTCCTGTCTCTTCACTACTTCCAGCATTATACTGACCAGTAGATCCTTGTATTTATTTTAACATTAACTCCTCTCACTATTTAGGTGTGTGTGTGTGTGTGTGTGTGTGTGTGTGTTGCATTTTGGTCCTACAAAACCTGAAAATCCTGACATCTGCACCAGCAGTATTTTTGCAGCTGGCCTGTTGAATATCTGTAGGTCAGCCTTGCACACAAGAAAAAAAAACACTTGTCTTCTATTTTGATTTGGAAAATGAATTCACACATCATAAAATTGCTACGAATTTTACTCTGGCAATTCAGTAAAAATGGGTCTGCCACCCTGAGTTTAGGATAGGAAACTTTTTGTACCCAAGGCACACCAAAGGAAAGCCAAACTTTCAAAGCACACCTGTATTCATGTCCATGGGAAAAGAGCTTCTATTCCACATGTTATCAGCCTTATCACTATATATTTTTTTTAATTTGTGACAGAGGGGTAGATTTGGCATGAGAAGGAATATGTCACCGCTCTTTACAGACCAAGCTAAGAAGAGAGATGCACTGGGAAGAAAATCTATCTTGCAAACAGTACAGTACTGAACTACTGTATCAAACAGAGGACTTAGCACTTAGTTGGAAGAACACTTTACCCTAAAATTGTAAACAAAAGATGCAATGAGAATGAAAGCTGGTTGACATAAGTGTAAGCTAGAATCAGCATTAAAACATTTACTATTGTTTGCATACTCACAAGCTAGTGAGACATGTGCCTAGTGATGTCCAATTGACACTATGACATCTGTATCAAACCACTTCATCATTTGTATGAGTATTGGTTCATTCATTCAAAGGTTCGGTTTAGTGCCATCTGGTGGCGAAATAGTATGCAGCAGAACAATGTCTGAATTATGTGATGGGTGTAACTAGGCTTTGTGTGAATGATGTGAAAACGTTGGTAAAGATTGATTGGTCAGTCGGTCGAATCTATGAACGTATGTAGTGTAGTACTGTAGGTGGGAGAAGGGATGCTTGGGGAAACAGAGGATGTGCTAGGATGTAATATGTGCGTATGTAACTAGGACAGGGTGTGAATAAATACAAGGGATGGAGAATCAATCATTTGTATTCCTAGCTGGCTCCATGGTGATTACACATCAGCAGCAATGATCATACCAACAGCAACTACGCACACACCTACTACGCCGACAAACCCACATGTTGTGCGTCTTGGGTGGCTTTATAGTACCCCTGCACCTGCTGATGCGTGTCAGATGGCCATCACTACATGTGCCTGATGGTGCCTGCAAAGTTTTTACATCCTTGGTAGTATTGAAGAGAGCGCGTCTGGACCTAGCATAACACCTGTAGGTTTTATTTTTCATGTGGGGAAGATGAGTGTCTCCAATGCAGTGTGAGGTTTCGTCTACTTTGCAATAAGCTCTGCTAGCATAGACGTAGCTTTCCTCCATCACCTTATCAGACAATTTCCCACAGTCTTGTTGCTTCTGGTACAGATCTCATGCACTTAGGCCATGTTTCTCTCAATGTAGAAGGGATGTTTGGTTTCCAAGTGCCTATTCAGCTTGCTTGGCACCGCATTAGCTAACTGCCCCCGACAGATGATGCACTCTGGCTGAGGGCTGTTGACATCCATGGTCCAGCTGAAGCCATAAGACAGACAGCTTTCATGACATTATCTCCTGACAGTTCTTCTCTCTTCTTGAGGTGGTTCTTTTAGGCTATAGGATTTACCTCTGAATTGGGAAATGAGTGCATACAACATACTGATATTACTGATATAGTAAATTAAAAATCCATTCATAACTTTTTGTATCATTGTATACTGCAGTACTAATGTAATATTTGTAGTTTATGAGGGCCAGTATAGAAAAGAGAGGCCAAAAACAAATTTTTTCTATAGGAGGGTGATGAATGAACATGCTGTAATGAGGCTAAAAGAGGATTTTATGGGGCAAAACTGGGAAGCAGTTTATAGAGAGGATGACTTAGATAAAGCATATGAGCAATTTTTAAACATATTTAAGATTGTATATGACAAGAACTGTCCTCGTAAGCAGTATAAAAATAAAAGGAATTACAGTGA